TATATATATATATTAGCCTGTAGCCAACTTCTACTGACACCTAAACAGCTCGCTGAGCACCCTCATGCACCCATGTGCACACATGTACACCACATAAACACACAAATTAATTAATAAAATATATATTAGAAAATTTAGCACAAATATGTAGCACTATTTTTGGAAGGTCAACAATATACTCATTTAAAATTGTAACATATGAGATGATATGTTTGGGGTTTAAGTAAGGTTACGAATTTAGAAAGATTAAGATTATATGTTCAAGTCATACCTTATATTTCTCAAATATCAAAACTTTGAAAATGTTTATCTTTAATGTTTTAAAACTTACATTACAAGACTCAGGCTGAAATTTATGTGGGAGTTTTTTTCAAATGTATTTCTATAAACAAAAGAAAGTTTCAAAGAATTACTGACTGGATTTCTTAAAATAAGAAAGTTTAGTTCCCATAGAATATAACTAAACTAAGTCCACTTCAACCGTTTTTTACATTTGAGCAATATATGTTCTCAAATACAATGATTTTTACAACTTGTTTGATTACACAGACCCTGCACTTCACTTCTAATTCCACGCCTGGTCATTATTGTATACACCTGCAAGAATAAAATGTTCACTGTGTCAAATATTTTCGGGTTCATATTTTCTAAGAATATCACTCAGTGTTATCTTTAAAAAGTCATCAGTGATGTCAATATTTCCTCATTAAAAATAAAAGTGAATTTAATAAAAAAAGTATCACCATATTATCACATACGGAAATACACTATATAAAGTGATGTCTGTTGATATTTGAGTAAATCATGGAGCGTTGTTGCTTGCCAAAAAAAGAGAAGAGAAAGGCTAAATTTAAGAGCTCATGGGGGCTGGGGAGTTGGACATTGGTTAAAGCACTTGTTGTAAAAATGTGAGGATTGGCATCCTTATCCTCAGAACCTATGTAAAAACAAGGTGGGCTGGAGGACAGCCTATGATTGATTCCAGCCTTGGAAAGCAGAGGCAGGCAATCCCTAGAGTGAGCCAGATAGACCAGCCATGGTGAGCTCTGGGTTTGATTGAGACACCCTGCCTCAATGACTATGGTAGAAGAGCAATTGATCCAGTATGATTCTGGACGTCAGTAAATTATTTTTTTAAAAGTAATAACTTTAGTCTAATTGACTCAGTACTAGGTATAACAGAGCTGAATAATAATAGTAAGTTAATAAGTCCTAACTCAAGACCCATAAACATTTGAAACTATTTGTTTATATGTATAATGTCTTATATTTATGTCCTTTTGAAATGCCTTAAAACTTCCCATGGAAATTTGCTAGCCTACTCATAAACAGCTACTCTTTTTATCAGGAATACTCAGGTCAAAACTATGACTTAAGTTGAATTCATTTATGCAAATTATATTATAAATATTCATTTTTCTGTGCATTTGCCATGCTAAAATTAGGCAATGATTTAGAAAATAACAACTGCATTATTTATTATTTTTCATAGAAGGATAACTTTGACTTGACTGCATTTAATTTTAATCATACATTCTCAGGCATTGAGTCTTTAAAGACTTTGTTTTTCCTGCAAGGTGTAAAATGTATACATATCAGAGAATTAATATGTTGTTATTGTTGTACATTAATATGAGCAACACTGGGGTAATGGTCTCCTCAAAATACTACAACATTTTTGCTAAAGCGCACAGAGAAAGTTCTCCTTGGTAAGCAATCTGGAGGCTGGTGGAAGGAACTATTACTTTTGAAACGGGCATTTAAAAAGACATGAGTTACTTTAAAATACATGAAATACTTACTCACTGAAATAAAAAAGAAACTATTCTGATACCAGTTATCCATAAAAATATCAAAACTTGGAAAGAAAATAATTCCTAAGCAGCTATATGTTTACAGTGAGTTTTCATAAATTGTTTTTAAGTAGTTTGTATTGAATTAATTCCTGAATATTTTTAAGATGCACAACCAGAGACCTGGAAGAAATATGAGTCCCCATTTTTCAATTTTTATCAATTAAGGTAACTGTTTACACAGCTTAGACCTGTGCTAGCCATGAGAGCTTCACACAGAAATGACTGCCAGTTTGCGTGCACTGAATTAGTGGAGTCGGGATCTAGGGTCATGGGAAGCTTTTCAGAGCTTATGGATGCTCTGAATCTTAGTAGGAAGGCATTCCAGAGCCAGATAACCGGAGACTAGAGGAAGTGTCCGATGTGTCATGCTAAGGAATTTAAATTGTACCTTGAGTGCAGCCCCTTAGTAATTTAAACTGGAAGTCTGACACATTCTGGTTATTGATTCCTGAATGCATTAGCTTTCTCTGCAGGCAAGACTCTCTGCCCAGTCTGGCTAGCTTGCAGTATTATATTGTATCCACATAATCATTTCATTTCTGAGGTAGCTCTCCATCTGTTTGCTAGTTTATTTCAAGATTATTCTAGCTATTTTATTCTCATTCTGTTTATTCATGCTTTCTAAGTATTCCTTCAAAAGCATTCTCAATATGTTTTGAAGTATGAAAGTATTTAATGTTAAGTGTGTCATTCGCTGCGAAATTTAATTTAAGTAATGAAAGATATGAGTTAAATTCTATAGCCAATTTGTTCCTTTTAATATAATTTATAATGTTTAAATATTGGTTTTATTTCATGTATTTTACTGTGACCCTCTCTAGGAAAAATTCATCAGAATTATAACTTTTATAAAGTTGAAGTTTTTATCTTATTTATAAATTTTACGTTCTTTGCCCCTCTTTTTTCTTAAAATATTTATTATTTTTATTTTATTCATATGAGTGTATTGCCTGCATGTGTGTAAGTGCGCCCATGTCATGCAATGCCCACAGAGGTCAGAAGAGAGTGTTGGATTCCTCTGGAGCTGGAGTTAGGATGGTTGTTAGCTGCCATGTGGTTGCTGGGAATCATACCCAGATCCTCTGCAAGATTAGCCAGTTCCCTTAACCATTGAGCCAGCTCTTCAGCCCTTTTGCCCCTGTTTCTATGCCTCTTGTTATCTATATTGCCAACACTTTTAATTTATGTTGCAAAATTGTATATGTTCTTTTTTTTTACTTTTTTGCTTGTTCATTTACATACCCGAAGCTGAAAGCAATAGGAAACTAGCACCTGCTTCATTGTTAATGACACAAATGAAAACCACACACATTTTTATTTTGCATCAAATGGCCATTACATAGTGTCCATACAGATGATTTTTACAAATATTCTTTACACAAAAAGCTAGGGAAGGCTAATCAGTTGATTTACATCTCTTCGTAAAAATTAATCAAGGCATAATATATTAGGGTGTTTATTTTAATGCCTCATGATGTCCAAGCCCAGAAGCATTGCCACTCTGAACAAGATGAAATAATAACACTAATTATAGCTTTCTATAAGTTAGAATGCATTGCAATAACAAATGAAAGACAGTTATGATTGACTTATTTTGAAGAAAATGCCATGTCAGTATTTAATGGTATTGGTCAGTATTTCACCATAAATTTAATGCTATCCTTGCTCTTTCTTTTTCTCTTTCCAAGTTTGCTTTTTATCCTCTTACCCATTCAAATTTTTAATTTCTTTTCCCTTTCACACAAAGAATTGTATTGGTCAGAAATAATGACTAATGTTGCTATCATCAAATGAAAGTTCTTCAACAGGCAAGCAACTCCAAGGCCAAGATTTCCTTAGTCATCTTTCTACTTTACAAAGGAATGATTAAGGTGCCTTCACATGGTAGACAGCTTACACAACTAAATATTGTTCAGAATGAAATGTATTTTAATAAATATAAATCTGTATGGAATAGTATCTACAAAGCTCTCCTTGTATATTAGCAATATATACATATACTTTTATCTAAGATAATGCCCTGGCATGTGTGTGTATGTGACAAATATGTCTATCTGTATATATGTAAAATGTATTAGAAGAAACTTTATAATGCTGCAAGGAGTCAGTTAATAAAACTAATACCTATTGCTGGTCATGGTGACACAGGCCTTTAATCCGAGCACTCGTGAGGCAGAGACAGGAAAATCTCTGTGAGTTCAAGGCCAGCCTGGACTACATAGTGAGTTCCAAGCCAGCTAGGGCTACAGGGAAACCCTGTCTCAAAAAGACCAAAATAAATAAATAAATTAATTAATTAATTAAAAAACAAAATCTACATATGTTCTAGAATACTAAAGAAAAATATGCAAATTGGCATAATATAATGTATTGACTTTTTCAATTTATGTATCTTCATTTTGTATAACTAATTTTCATTTTCACACACTGTGTACAATTTTCATTAAAGGTTTTCCTGGTAGTAACAGAAGCTGCTGATGCACAGGGAAGAATACATACGGCTGTGCAGAGCACTGGGAGAAATTGCATCTATAATCAGAGTTATTTTTTCATGTAATGTAAACAAAGATTAAAATTGAGATTAATGCAATGTATTCCATGTTTTACAGGAAATATTGATGAAGCGGAACAAGAGTGGAAAGCAGGATTCTATCGTTGGAGCAATTACATGATGGACTGGAAAAATCAATTTAACGATTACACTAGCAAGAAAGAGAGCTGTATGGGTCTCTAATTAATAGAATTGCCCTTTATAGAATGTTCATTTTCCTGTAGAAGAAGGCAAAATACAAGTAGCTCTCTCCACACATATGAAGAAAGTTGAAACAGAAATGCCAGACAAGATCGATTCCTCACATGAGTTCATTTAGTATTTTACCTAGCATTTCAGAAACCAAATGGCTAGAACACATTTCATTAATTTTCAGAATATAAAGCTTGACAGTTAATTACATGTGTAATAATATGATTTGCTGTTTTGATATTGCTTCCCTGAATAACTTTAGGACTTTTTCCCTAAAAGGTATAGACTCTATTTTTATTTGCGTGTGTGTATTTTCATTACCACTCGCATAAAATATCTTTTAAATTTTAATCAAATTTAGAACATGGGATATTATAATTTATTGATTCCTACAATTAATTTATAAATTTGATGTCAACCTTGGATATTAAAGCAAACCCAAAAATCTTTTGCCTCCTTTTATACATAGAGGAAAAAAATGATTATGAAAATAAGAGTTACAACTTTTGGGAAATATGATATGCTGAAACAAAATACTGCTGAGAACAGACTGAGGCACGGAGTTTCACGTACCATTCAAGATCAAACCAATTATTATCCTAAGTGGGAAAATCTGGTCGCAGCATCATTTCACATGAATTGATTTGGCTTCCCTCTCAGTTTTCCCTAAAGTACCGTGCATTCTGAGTGATGGCCATTTAAAGCACAGGGTAGATGCAGGAGTGAAATTCAAGGACTCCCAAGTCAAGGAGAGCTCTGCACAGGAGGAAGAAATCAGTGTCTATGTCTCCTTGGAGATTCGCACTTGCACAGTCCATAGGTGAAAAGAAAGTTTGATGTAAATTATGCATTAACAGTTTCTGTGCATCAAACCTAAACATGACATGAAGCCCTCTCTGGGGTTAATATATGAATAAAAACGGGTTTAACACACAAACCATGGAGCCATCACCTAATTTTGGTGAAATTTTAATTCATGCTTCATAATTTGACAGATGATTATGTCTTAGGTCCTACAACAACATGTGTAATTCCAGTTAGGTAAGAACATTATTTCGATCAAATATTTATATATGGAAAAAGATTAATCTTTTAGTTTTCAAATTCTGATTCATAAAGATTAAAATAAAATTCACATACCTCTAATAATACTGACTTTTTAATTTTCCAGAAAGAAGATGCGGAATATGATCAGGTCAAAGAGTACAATTTTAACAGTAAAGTAGTTAAATTCTGTTAATCTGATATTTAATTTCATGGATAAACGTTAATGTAATTTCAGTTGTGACATAATAAGCAGACGGTTCTTATGAATGGGACGATCCCCATGTTACCGAAGAAGATGACAAAAATCAAGAGTTAGTAAAATACCATGGTGCAGTTGTCACAACGAGTATAATAGCAACAATTCGCTTTACAAAGTTATTTGAAAATGAGGGTGTGCACAGGAGGAAAAAGTGTTTTTTTAAATATACTGAATGCAAAGGCTTATTTGCCTTTCTTTCACACTGTCAAAGAATAAAGAACAGAGACTTTAAAATGCAAATTTTAGAATGCATACACACATGTATGTATGTATGTATGTATGTATGTATGTATACAAAAAGGAATGTCTCTTCTACATGGGATACAGCAAAGAAATTCACTAAATGGTTCCATGAAGTGGAAACTAATCAAAGTGAAAGGGAGAATGCACGATGGTCACATGACAGTCATCTAATTAGGCATTAAAATTAATGTGAAACAATATTATACTTTGTAAATGAGATATTTGTTACACACCTTTGTAAAATTACAAGGTACAAATATTCCAGACATTTATAATATATGGTGTATTAGATCCAGCTGTAGCAAGTGAAGCAAACATTTTAATTGAATATTTGTGAATTTCATACAATACATTTTGATCATATTTAGATCCCCTTCCCTTATCTATACCCCTCTTATAGCCCACCAGATATCATATACTCTCTCATATATATTAAAGCCTATCAAGTCAAATGTGTGTCCCCAGTTGTCCTTAGGTGTGGGTCTATCCACTGGAGCCTTGTGAACCTCTCTAGCATGATACCGTTAAAGACACCCTCTCCCACCAGTCAGTGGCTGCCAACCATTTCTCAACAAAGGTTGAGACTTCTTCCCCACTTCCCCGTTTCTGTGCTGGGATTTTGTCTGACTTGAGCTTGTGTGAGTCTTGTGCTTGCTATTACCATACAGCAAGCATTTTTGTGTGGTTAAGAAGTACTACTGTAATTGGAAAACTCTTTATTTGTCAACTAATTGAGAAAGTAGATTTTTAAATAGACACTGTCTTACAGGGACACTGTCTTGGTGGGCCCAGCAGATGGACCCACAAGGAAGAACATTCAGAGACACAAATCACACTCTGGAGGTCATATGTTATATAGGTCATATATTATAAAATGTACTTATATTACATCAAATTGGGGAGGGGCAGTGGGGGACGTGCGGATAAGGGAGGGGATATAAATACCATCAAAGCATACTGTACGAAAATAGCAAAAATTAAAGTTTTTTTTTTTTCTGGGAATCATCACTTTGAAATGTAAATATCAAAAGAGAGAGTGTTCCCATCTGCCACCATCCATGAGAAAGCAAAAGCTGAACTTTGATGAGCACAAATTACCTACACAGATGGTGTCATCACAGAGCAAATACGTAGGAACTCAAGAGAACACCCCAAGCACAGCAATTCCTCCTGGTTGACCCTCACAGTGCCCTCAAGTACTAGTCCACTGGCTTACCGCAGCGCTTTAAAGCTTCATAGCTTCTGTTCCAGTGAAGCTGAATCAATTTATGTGCCATACTGCAATAGTCATGAATGAAGTCATCATGGCCTTTTAGCTTTACTGCAACTTTTACTTTAACAGTAAGCAACATCCAACATCCCTGAACATGTCCAGGGTACACTCCAGTTTTTAACAACTTCCTATTAACATATGAAAAAATGAAAATATTTGCCTGTAGCAGGTTTCTTTCAGGAATTGTGATTCCCTGGCAATGTGGGGCAACCAGGAAAGGAGTTGAAAGTGTAACTTTTAAAATTTATTTATTATTTTTATTTTATGTGTATGAGTGTATTGTCTGCATGTATGTGAGTGCAGCCATGTCATGGGTCAGAAGAGGGCTTTGGATTCCCCTGGAACTGGAGTTAAGGATGGTTCATAGCCATGTGGGTGATGGGAATCGAACCCAGGTCCTCTGCAAGAGCAGTCAGTGCTCTTACCTGCTGAGCCATCTCTCCAGCCCCGAATGTCTAATTTTTAAATGAACGTTTCCTATTATCTTTTAGTCTCCGTGCAGATAATTTGTGCATCTGTTAGTGTTGGTGCCATTTTTCATTTTCACTTCTTAATATTTTACTGGATTTTTTTTCCTTCAATATCTCAGGTCTCAAATTCAAGTTTTAGATTTTCTTACTAGATTGGCTCCTCTGTTCAGGTTTATTTTTCCTGCTCTTTTGTCTTGTTTTCTGTTTTCTTTTGTGTCTTTTATTTTCCCCTCATTAATGCAGAGGAACATCTACGTACACATGTTCGGATGGTCATCTAGGAACTTCTAGTGATTTACAAGATTGTATTTACATCTTTAGTACAATTATTTTACTGTATGTTTTATTGCCAAATTTGAGTATTGGTCCTAGAAAATAATAGTGACCCATAGAAAGAATTATCATGAAGCTAGAATTGCTTAAACTTGAGGGATCTTACTTGCAAAAAGTCTTTTGAAAGTACAACATATAATTTTGCATTTGAAATTTCGCATTCTTTTCCTAGCAGAATTTCCAAAAGCATATGAGTTTCAAGATGCCCCAGTGTTTTTTGCCCCAGGCATCATTTTGATTAGAGAATCAATCCTTCCTTCCCCATTGCTTTTCAAGAAGTCACCTTGATTTTCTCTAGAAAAAATCAGTCTTCTTTTTTACAACTTTATAATGTGATAATTTGGAAGTTTCTTTCTTTGTGTAAGGAAGTAAGTGAATGAGAGCTGAAAAGCCAGCATCTGCAGTGGCATTTGGATTTTAAACTAAATGTGTGCATAATGTTCTCTTTAGTAGGTGAATTATCATTTTCACATAACCATGAAAGATTAAATTTTAATAATCTCCCTTGGAGTTGTCTCTTTGAAATCTTGTGCAAAATATTAAGTGGTAACTTAGCAGAACAGTACTTCGCTTCCTTTTCAAGTTGCAAAAACATTCAAAGACAGGAAGCAAGCACAATGTCCCCCCTCTCAGTTCATCCTGTGCCACCGTCAGTTACAGAGGCATTTATTTATCTTGCTGTCAGTGGAAGGAACTCTACTGAGGAGAGCCTCACGTCCCAGAGAACCTGAGACCCCTGATCTTTGGCATAACTATATAGAATTCCACAACTTCACATCTATTCTAAATGTCATAAAACATTTTACAGTTGGATATAACCTTTCTTAACTATTCTTTATCCCAGTGTAAACTGTCACCATCAGAAGAACAAAATGCAAACCATTCCATACTAAAATCCTAATGATGATTATTTGATGCATTAGGTGATGTTTATCATATTATGCCAGTTTATTGGAACTGGTTATGGGAAAGTGTGCAGTGTGAATCTGCAAAATAAATACGTCAGTGATGAAGTCTTTGGTGATATTTTCCTATTTAAGGTTCCAATCAACCACATTTTAAAGACTGCTCCAGAAAAGGAATATTTTGCATCATAGAAGAAAATAGCTATCTGGGACACTCTATCTGAAAAATAACTTGGCCAATAACTAATTAGCCTCTCTGTTTACTCATCTTTGAAAACGTTAATTTTATAGGGCTTCACCTACAAATAATGTATTTGTTGAAAAATATAAAACAGAAAATTAACTTTACTGACCAAACATGACCTTAGTTTTTGGTTTCCATATATGTAGATTACTAAATGTCTATGCTTCATAAAAAATGCATGTGTACCTCAAAACATGATGCAGGACAGAATGGAACAAAGTTTTCATCTTTCATTTAGCAGCTCCTTTTACTTTTCATTCAGATTTTTATGCACTGGCCTTACAGTAGTTTTCATAGCACGAACAGGTCTCACTCTGTAGGCACCCGTATTTTAGTGGCATGAGATATGCAAAGAATCAGGATAGCTTTATAATTATATCATGCTAATCCATGAATAAATAGAGCTGAGGAAGCAACTAGGGATTTGAAGTGGGATGAGTCTTGTCTGATAAATTAACAAAGGAAGGGAGACAGTCATGAAAACAGAGGCGATCTTTTCAGGCAGAAGTTACAAAGGAGGCCACAGGGAGGCTTGCAGAGACAGGCATGCTGGTCAGAGATGAGGCAAGAAGAGAGAAAGGCAGATTGGAAGCCAGTGTTGGGGTTTGAGCACACAGATAACAATTGTGGCTATTTTAGGATGATCCCTCTGGTTCCTGGGAGACTCCACTGC